CCCCCCCCCCCCCCCCCCCCCTCCCAAAAACACCCTCCATCAACTGGATCAAACCTTTCCGCAGAACCCAACGCAAGCCCCGTAGTGACCCCCCTTCAACAGTGTTCAATCCAGCAACAATCTTTCCCACCCGCGTGATTTCGACAGTGAAAGGCTTGCGATTGCGACAAAGTGAGGGATCATGCACGGCCGCGCAGCGTGCGCTCCATCTCGCCCCGCGCGCGCAGGGCGCCCGCCTCGAGCTGGGCGAGCTCGGCCTGGGCGGCGGCGCGCATCTCGCGCGCGGCGGCGTCGGCGTGCGCCTGCAGCCACGCGCCGAGCGTGAGTGCGCGCTGTGTGTCGTCGAGATCGAGCGCGGCTAGCTGTGCCAATGACGAAACGCCCGGTGCGGCGGCAGGGCTGGATGCGCGGATCGTCGCTTCCGACGTCGTTGGCGGCAGCACAGCCACAGGAGAGGATGTGCGGGTAGAGCGCGTCGGCTTGGCAGGGCGCACAGGACGAGGAGGCGAGGGCTCGACGTCCGAAACCGAGACGTCAGAGGCGGCGTGCTCGATCACGGTCGTGTCCAGAACAGGTTCGGCTTCCGGCACAGCTTCGGCCTCGACTTCGGGTTCGGATTCTGAGACCACCACCGGTTCTGGTTCTCTTTCTGGCTCGGGCTCGGGCTCGGGCTCTGGCGCCGGCTCGACCTTCTTGGCCGACTTGGACCTGCTGCGCTTGGGCTTGGGCGCGACGACGGGGTCGGTGGCAGGCTCACGCTCGTCCTCGCTCGGTACGCGCGGGAAGGGGACGGGGTCCGATAGCGCCTGTTCGCGCCTGGCGAGGTCATCTTCATCGGGTCGGCGCGGAATGCGGTCGACGTCGTCATCGGCCGAGAGCATCTCCATGAGCCGCGTGGCTCTTCGGCTGGCCAGCCGCGAGGGACGCATGGAGGGTGGCTCGGTGCTGCCGTTGCCCAGCCCTGCCGCTGGCTTTTTGGTTCTAGCCACCTTGGTGGGCTTATCTTCTGGTGTGTCTGCGCTGGCCGAGGACTCTGTTTGTGGCTCTGGCTCGGGCGCAGGTCGTCCTTCAGCCTTGTCTTGTTCGAGCTCTTCCTTCTTTTCGGCAGCGGCGGCGCCCTTTCTTGTTGACACGCTGCGTGTGGTCTTTCGGGTGCCCTTCTTGGCTGGCGGTGCTGGTGCTGGTGCCTCCTCTTGGGCTTCAGGCTCGGCCACGGCTTCTGGCTCGGGCGCGGGCGACTCGCTGCGTGAGGGTGGTGCGCTCGGTTCTGCCGATGCGGCGATGGATGCGGCCTTTTTCGCTTTGGCCACCCTGGTGGATGCTTTGCGTGCATTTGCGGATACGGCGCGCTTCCCACCTTTCCTGGGTGCAACAACCGGCTCTGCATCTTGCGCAGCCGCGTCGTCCGAGTCCGCGTCAGGACCAGAAGGCTGCGGCGCTGGCGGTGGGGGTTGGCGTAGCTCGCATTTGAAAAAGGCGCAGTCGGGATGGCGTCGCTGGTGCTCGTGTACGGGGTCGTCCGACTTTTCCCAGCCGCCGAGCGACCTGTCGCAGTAGATGCACTTTGCATTGTCCGGTTCTTCTTCGGTGGGGTTGAAGAGGAAGCCAGCTTCGGCCAGCTTTTTGCTGGTGGGTTTCCAGCCCTTTTTGCCGTCGTAGGGCCAGCGAGAGCCGAATGTCTCTTTGCGAGCCTGGATCATTTCGGAGGATGTGGGGAGCAGCTCGGGCGATTGCCAGAACCACATCTTGGCAGCATCGTCAAAGGCGGCGAGCGAGAGGCTGTTGTGGATGCGACACCATCCGTTGTTTGGAAGGGCGTTCTCGAGGCGAGCGAGTGGATCATCGTTCGCTTGCCAATTGGCGATGCGCAGCTCGGGATAGAGAAAGTGAGCGACGGCGTCGGGGTCTTGGGGTGTGGGCGCGTGGTAGAAGCCGTGCACTGCGAGCACACTTGGCGTGGGGACGCCTGCTGCCTTTGCGCCGCGTGCGGTGACGGGATGGGGCCATGCTGTGGATGTCGACGATGCTGATGTTGATGCTGCTTTGGTGGACTGGCGCTTCTTGGCCGTTGAAGCGGATGTGGATGACGAGGCGATGGCGAAAGACGCCAGGCGTTCCTCTTCCGAAAACATGCTGGCTGCTCGCGGCGATGGGACGATGATGGAAGCAAGAGAGAGAGTGTGTGGGAGGATGGCGATGGTGCGTCGGAGGCAAGCGGGCGTGAGGATGACCGAGGTTGACTGCTGGGCTGCAGGCTGCAGGCTGCAGGGCGTTGGCGCGCTTTAAGAGCGACACGGCCGTGATGAAATGAAAGCGCGCGCTCGGTGGTGCCGACATTCTCACGCCCGGCTGTGTGGCGCGACGCAGCAGCAGCAGCAGCGGCAGAACAACACTCTTGGCCGCGATTTCTCGCCAAAAAAAAAGTGTTGGTTGAGCGCCCGATTATTTGGCCGGATTTTAGACAGCGAAAAGGCAGCGCCAGGCAGGCGCGTCAGGTCGGCGCACGTGATGCGAGCTTTTGGGGCTCTCCACAAAATTCCCACCTGCGCCCTGCATCCAAGCGTTGGATGGCGTTCAAAGCGCAGGACCCTCAGGACCCTGGCCGTCACACCTTCATCTTGGCAGCCAAGAAGTCAGACTCGGTCGGATCGTGCGTGACAGGATCGCGGTCGGCCGTTCCGCATCTCACCGCCGTCACATCCGCAATCGGCACGTCCGCACGTCCGCACTTCCCCTAGACGCCTCCTCATATCGACTTTCCCACCCATGAAGCACACCACCATCTGCTGATTCCGCTGCCTCTGCTGATCCGATCTGGCTGTGGGAAGACGTGCGCATCGAGTTCGCTTCCTCCGAAGATGGATTTCACGCCGTCGCTGCGCCGCAAGCAGACCCCTGTCACCTACTCGAGGCGCAATCGTCAGCAAGGAGCGAGCAGCGCGACCTCTTCACCTGCGGCAGCCCGCCCTCGTCCCGCTGCTGACGCATCCCACGGATCCTCCGACGAGGCAGAAGAGCCTCTTGAGAATGGCACACCGAGCAAGGAAGCGCCTGTCTCGCCCGCCAAATCCAGCCGCATGGATCCCAGCCCTTCCTCGTCTGCCTCCTTGTCCTCATCCTTGCGGCATCCTCCGAATCCTCCAAATGGGTCGGCCGCGAGTCCGTCCAAGTCCACACCTGGTGGTCTCGGGCCCAAATCACGCCCAACGCCGTCCACCGCCGCTCCTCGCTCCATCAGCTCGCTGC